GCCCTGGGTAGAGTGCTGTGGCATCACAGCTCACAGCAACCTCCAACTCCTGGGCTCAAGGGATTCTTCTGCCTCTGCCTCCCTAGTAACTGGGATTACAGGCGCCTTCCACAACACCCAGCTATTTTTTGGTTGCAGCCACCATTGCTGTTTGATGGGACCAGGCTAAATTCAAACCCGCCAGCTCAGGTGTATGTGGCTAGAGCCTTAGCCACTTGAGCCACAGGCACCAAGCCAGGATCTTAATAACTTTTAAGAGTGTAATCTGATCCAGGAGACCAAGACATTGAGAACTGCTGGTCTAGTTAAAGTAATGAGGTCTGGCCAAGTTGCTAACACTGAGGCAGGGAGGATCACCTGAAGCTGGGAGTTCAAGACCAGCCTGGACAAAATAACAACACCCTCCATCTCTACAAAAACATTAAACATTAAATTAAATAAATAGTTTTGACCTCATTAGACATCACATTCAGATCTGTTTGTCCTTTGCTTTTCTCTGTGCCTTCCCCACCTAAATGTGAGCCCCATGAAGGCATGATTTTTCATCCATTTCACCCACTGCTATATTCCAACACCTAGAAATGTACCTAGCACACAGGAGATACCCAATAAATACTTGATGCAGAGGTGAATGAATAAATACTAATCAGCATTGTTATACATTTATTATTTGTCTACTTTTCCCACTCTATGCCAACCAAACCCTATTAACTATGCAGGAGGTGTATCAAAAAGGAGGAGTGAAGAGTTGAGGAAAATGGAATTGAATCCAGGCTCTGCTACCCTGGGTGAGTAAATTCACCTCCTGGAGCTGCAGTTTCCCGGAAGTCGTGGTCAGGCACTGTTTCTGGCACGTAAAGGACCATTACCATGTTCGTTACATTTATCATTTCTTACACCTTGGGAAGGGAGAAATGATGCCTCTGTCACCTCAGGTCATTGCATGTGCACGTCACAGGCTGAGCATTAGCCAGCTCCAAGCTGGCAGCAGACGTAAAGGAGACACTGTGTCTGTTTTCTAAGAGCTCCCCATTTCTTAAGAGAGATGCTGGCTAGCTGTGTATCTTTGGGCCAGGCACTTATTAACCTTCAGTGCCTCAGTTTCCCCATTGGTAAAATGGGGGCTATTGATAGTACTAATCTCCAAGGATTGTTGGGAGGAGTCAGTGACCACTTGGCCCAGACACAAGCAGAGAAACACTCCATGACTATCACTATTATTCCATGCAAAACCATTCCCCTACCTCTGGGTCTTGGTTTCTCCATCCTGGAAATAGGCATCAGGATCCTGCAAAGCCTTCAGCATACTGGTTGCTCTGCAGCTCTAAATCCTTCCTTCTCCCTTTGTATTCCACACCCTAGAGGTTGGTGGCTGCTTCCAATAGTTACTACTATCTGGATTGCTACAGTATTCCCTTTCTGTTCTTCCAGCCCTTTCCACACATTTGAAATAAATTCCTATATTAAGTCACCTTTCTTTGAAATACCTCATGTGGGGTTGACCGTGATCTGACCCCACAGTGGTGTAGGGAGCCTCCATCTAGGCCAGGCAGGCCATACCTGTAGCTTCTTGAGTTGGCTGTTGACAGTGGCCAGGTCCCCCCCAGGGTCCACATCTTGCAGCTGGCTTTCCATGTGAAGGAGCTTCTTGTCCAGCTCAGCAAAGCTCTGCACTAACTGGTCAGCCTTGCTGGCCTCAAAGAGCTGCCGTGCCTTGGCCTGGGTGGTGCTCTCCAGTTCTGCCCAGCACTGCCGGATCTCACCCAACTTCTTCCGCACAGAGGCTGCCAGTTCTGGCTTCTCCTGCATCAGTTGCTGGCCTTCCTGCTCCAGGCAGGTAGATGGCAGGAAATGAGGAGGAGGGGATAGATGGTGGGAGGGACAGAGAAATATTGCAGGGCAATAAGACACAAGCATAGATGTGGGGAGAGAGTCAGAGGTGGGGAGTTGGAGATATACCAGGAAACAAATACAGGGGTAGACATAGAGATACCCCCGGAGTTGGAAGAAACCAAGGAAAAGAAACAAAAACAGACAGTCAGACAGACATGGGTAAGGAAGACAGACAGAAGGTGTGAAAGAAAGAGACACAAACGAGACATGGGAAGGAGATAGGGAAAGACAGTCACAGAATGATGGACACAGAGACACACACATACATCAGAAACATGGGGATAGGACCATAAGAAAGACAAGAAGAGAAAGTGACAGAGGCAGAGAGACAATAAACTTCCATTAAACTTAAAGTCAAGAAGATCAGTTTTGCTACATGCCACAATTTATGGGCCATGAATGGCTATTTAAGGGTTTATGGCCAACCTGGGGCTCTCTGAGTCAGAAGAGTATCCAGGACTGCAGGTTTAGGGGTTCAGCTAGAGTAGGAAGAAGTTCTGGGGTTGAGTCCTAGAACAAAAATCTGCCTGAGACCCTTTGTAGTCTAGTTCCTTGGGGGCCCAGAGCTACATATATTACATTATATATTAAAAGTAACAATATCATAGTAATTATAGCTCCTAGGGGCTTGGCCTTAGGCTAAGCACCTTATGTGCACAAGAGCCAAAGGAAGTAGTTATATTTATTATTTAATTAATTTTACAAAAGATCAAACTGAAGCTCAAAGAGGTTAACACAATCCCCCAAGGCCCCACAGATTGTAACAGGCATAAATACAATTAGAACCCAGGGCTGTAAGAATCCAAAGTTCACTATAATTATGGCCTTCCTAGGGCTGTCTCAGTCCATCTCCCTCACTTTTCATCTTAGGTACTCCAAATGGTATGGAAGGAAGCTTTGTAAAGGAGCCAATAGGAAGGAGTGAAATGTTTAACAAATAGGAGGATATGGACCCCATTCAGATGCGGGCCATTTTACAGATGGGCAAACTGAGGCTCAAAGAGGTTACATGAACCACTGAAAGCCACATAGCTAGGAACAGATATAGAGCTGCTTTGAACCAGTTCAGACATCTAAGAGCAGCAGAATGGCAGCAGAGGGTGCAGGAGGTGAATCATGGGCTCCCTAGAGGCCTCCAGCACCTGACATGGGCAGAGGGGCCTTCTGCATCCTCACCCTCTCTATCTTCTCCAGCCACTCCTTATTCTGAGCCAGCTCAGCCATAAATGCCTGGTGCCGGAGCCATCTCTTATGCAGCTTGTGGCTGTCTTCCCGAGTGCCATCCCGCGCCATCAGCATCTTCTCATGGATCCAGCCATCCAGCTGTGCAGGACAGGGTAGGAGGATTCAGCTGGTCATCCCAACCTGGCACAAGCCCTATCCCCTCCAGAAGGTCCCAGGTGCAGAGTACTTAGGTTGAGGGGTGGGGAGAGGAGGAAGGTATGGAAAAACCTATGCAAGTGAGGCTTTATGTTGGGGGGTCAGCTCAAGCTCTTTCCTAGGTAGAAAATGGATGAAAGGGTCCCCAGAATGCACAACTCTTTGGGTCCCCTTTCCTGAGGACAGCCCTCCTCAACCCCTCACAACACTCCCAAGCAAGGCTACTGGGAGAGACAGTCTCCTCCCTCCTGGGGTCAAATTTCACCTCCCCCTAAACAAGCTCTCCAACCTAATGTAGTTAACTCTCAATTCATCCCCAGACACACAGAAACACTTAGACCCTTCAATTCAGTCTTAACCACCCCTAGCAAGGACCAGTTCAAGATCCTTGACCCATCCCTCAGGGTATGGTATGAAGCCCCCATATTTAGCTCCCATCTCCCCCAATGTGGCCAGATTATCCCCCCCAAAACAACCTCCCAATTTGTGACAAGTCTAGGTCCCTACAAACCAGCCCTCCAGTCTGGAGTAGACATCCTCAATAACTGAGACCCAGCACCCCAAAGAACCCACAAGGCTCCCTAAATCCAGCCTTGGAACTCTAAGTCCACAATTCCCAAACCATATCCAGTGCTAGTAATCTGCAACCAAAGCCAACCCCCAAATTCAAGCAACAAAGTTGCCCTCTAGCTCCCCAAACAAGTCTATCCCCAAATATAGCCCCATTCTCCCCAAGGTGGATCATATTAAACCTCTCAAGCCAGCCAGCATCCCCTTACACCGGTCCTAGTCCTTCCACTGAGGAACAAAACCAGCCATCCCAAATGCAAGCACCAGGCCGGCTTACTATCCTGCTCAGGACCAATCAGAGGGCAGCTTTCTAAGCCTCCCCCCGCAACCAGTGTAGGGGTGGAGGGGAGAACAAGACTTGTCGCCCAATCTAGAACCTCCCCACTCATGACCAAAGCTAGCACCTGGGACAGTTTGCTCCGCCCCCTTCTCCTCCCCACTTCCAGTCACAAGATCCTCCTCCTCCCTCCTGCAAAAAGGGAAAAAAAAAAAAACAAAAAAAAAACTGGACTCCAGCTATTGCCTCCGCGGTCCCGGGAGGCAATTGCAGTCATAGCCAAGGACAAATCCCAAGCCGGCCAAACCCCACCCCACATTCCCTGAGCATATATGTTCCCCAAGGGTCCAGAAGAGCTTCATGCTCTCTCATACACACATACACTGGAGCCAAGTAAAATGCCAAATCCCCCAACTCAATACACAGGTTCTCTCCCAAGGAAAAGTCCACCGGCAACCACAGCCCATGGTGAACACCTCTAAAGGAGACAGTACCCCGTCCTCAAGGGGTGATTCACTACATCACTGAGGGCAAAGCCAGACTCCCCAACAACCAAGGAAAATCTCAAAATCAGAGCTTTCCAGACCCAAAGCAAGTCCAAGATCCTCATCACCCAAGGCAGAATCCTCCCAAAAGTGATCCACCTCCATGATCCAAGATTGACACAGATCCCACAAGAAGCAAGGAAGAACAGCCCCCCAAAGGCTGAGAATCTCCCAACCTAGGACAAACCTCGATCCCCCCATTACTCAGAGAAGAGCCCCCAGAGTAGGTGAGACGCCCTTAATCCCTAGGGCAAATTTAAACTACCCGAAGAGTAGCCTTAGGAGTCCCCCCTCTTCGCTTCCCTCCCCTGGGGGCCGGCCCCAGTCCCGCCCGAGCCAGCACCGCGGACAGCTCCCGGCGCCCTCGCCCCTCCCCCAGGGCGGGGGTCCCGGCACCG